AGGAATGGTGGGGCTGTTCTGACACCCATTCACACATACAACCCAGATGGTTCTGTTGTGGGATTTCCTGGATTTCAGGGTTGCAAAGACCCCCACATACAAAGCATGCCTCCTCGCTGTCAACCATGTGGGAAATACAGGGGTGGGCAAAAGTAGGCTTAAGTTGTTCATATGTAAAATCTATAATAATAAAAGCATAATATGCAAATCAACCAAACGGCGGAACAGCGGAACGACGGTCCGGATGAAGCCAGGGCTGCGAGGCCCGAGGCAGCTGGGGCTGCGAAGGCCTACTCTTGCACAAATTTAGTGCATAGGGCCTCTAGTAATATAATAATTAGTAAGTAATAATACAAGCCTGGCTGGTGTGGTCAAGGTTCGATTCCTAGTCAGGGTACATGCTGGGGTTGCAGCTCTATCCCTAGTAGCGGGGTGTGTGGGAGGCAGCTGATCGATGATTCTCTCTCATCATTGACGCTTCTATCCCTCTCTCTCTCTCCCTTCCTCTTTCTGAAATCAGTAACATATTTTAAAAATAAATAAATAATAATACAAGAATAAATACTGTGTTTGGTGGACTATAATTATAAACCTACTTTTGTCCACTCCTGCACTTAAGCTAGAACCATCCCTAACCTCACCCCCAGAGAATGGCTTTTAGTCCATTCTAGTGTTTTCTTCTCCAGGAGAGATGGGCCTGCTTCTTTTTCTCCCCTCTCCCCACTTATATCTGAGCATCATTTCTGACTCCAGGAATTGCCCAGGCCCCTGGCTCAGCCTGTGCTGAGTGGCTAACAGGATCCTTACTTTGCCCATGTGTCAACCTTGCTAGCAGCAGGGCGGCTGCGGCCAGGCGTGCTGGGGAGTAGGCGGCCAGGCTGGTGTGCAGTAGGGAGAGCTCGCAGAGGAAGCTGCACAGGTGCTGGGTTCTTGGTGGCATAGGGATCAGCGTCAGCAAGATGTCCTTGTAATCGACCACAGTAGGGACCTAGAGAGAACCGAAAGGCAGGCCTGGGATGGGGTCTCAGCACACAGAGAGCTCATCTACCCACTCAACAGGGAGGCTGGCCCAGCACAGAGTCTGGCATGACTGATGGTCAAGATGGTTGCCAGGGCATGTGGTGATAAGATGACCTCAGGGTCCAAGAGAACTTCTCAGAGCAGGAAAGTTCAATGCTATGAGGTTGCCCTCAGATCCTGCCACTCCCTCATGTGACCTCCACTTTGATTTACAAAAAAAAAAAAGAAAAAGGCCACTTACTCGAATCTTCCCTTCCAGGGCAGAAATGATCTCTCCCATCATCCTCACCAGGTCCTCATACTTGTACGTATTGTCGGTGAGCCACACGGCTTCCCGGATTGTCAAGATCTCTTTGTTGATGAACCTGGAATATGAGATGGGGTCTGAGAGTTGAGCTCAATTCCCTCAGTGAGGCAATCACTTTAGGCTTCAGTAAAAGAGACTGGGGGTGGGGAGGTCAAGGAATAGACCTGGATGCTTGTGACTACAGACAGGAACTGAAGAGGTCACATAACTCTGTCATAAGGGGCTGGAAAGGAGGAGGGATTAGTGCCACAGACCATTGTGAGTGGCTGGACCGCCAGGCACACAAATGTTTCTGCCAAAGGCACTCATGAATGACGCGACTGGTCAATCCTCTTAGTGAGTGAGGGGGATTTGCCCTGCTTTGTGCCAGATTCTACAGCGAGTATAAATGGCTTAAACCTAGGAGACAGGTGAGCCAACCGAACTGAGCTAGAGGTTGTTTGAAGGTTTGTACATAGCACAGAGTCTGGCCACTGGAAATGTGATTGTCCATTAGGCAGGTGGTCACCCTGTTCTCTATTCTCCACGAGAGCCAACTATCAGTGAACACACTGGTCCAGTGGCCTGCTGAGGGTGTCTCGCCTGGTAGGGTGGACTGGGGCCAGGCCTGTGATCGCTTTGTTCTAAGACTCTGCAGCTCCCACAGTTGCTGAGGCATGGGGACCACAGGTGCTGAAAGGTTGAGATGCAAGTGTAGCTGATGAGAGCCCTGTGCTTGGAGTCATGGCAAGTGCTGCTTTGAGAGCAGAGGTGGGGGTATCTCAGCCTCTAAAAAATTTTAAAGCAATTAGCATCTCACCACTAGTCAGTTTGTGATCCAATAACTTGGTTTCTGATGGCAAGGATGTAAGTATGCCACCTAGGTACAGGAGGCAGGCGCCCTGTCTATTCAGCCCTCTCTGGTGAGGAGACCTGAAATACTAAGGGGCCCAAACAGTGTGCGGCAGTCTGCTTGCTGACCCTGAGTCCATCATGCTTCCTCCACCTGTGGTCATATGACCATGCTTCCATGACTACCCAGAGACCATGCTTTCTAGCAACATGTGGCCATGTGACTGAGCTTGCTGCAAAGGTGGACATGGTGACCTTAGGGGTCATGGAATGGTGGTGGCAGAGAATAAGACAGAAACTAGGGCTCCTCTGTGACCTCCATGAAACAGAAAATCCGTCCCAATGACATGATGAGCCTGGATCTTATGCCTCTGGGTTATTGTGCAAAAGAAATCAATCTCCCTGTAATTCACACCACTGTGTGCAATGAGCCTGTTCCTTATTTCCCCCAAGCCTTGCAGACAAGGATGGTTGGTCTGGAAAGCACTGCCCAGGGGAAATGGCAGACCATCTGGTTTAGGAAAACTAGAAAATACAAAATGTATGGTGGGAATCACTGTTCATATTACTTCCAAAACTGGGTGGACAGGCATTTGTTAAAGGACAGCAGATTTAGGTAATAAATAAGATTAAGAAACACATTCTTGGGAACGTGACTGCCAACAAGCAATCTTTCATGATCTTGGGTGGAGGACTCGGCCTTTCCCTCCTTGTTGAGTCACCCTCAGGGGCCAGGAGAAGTGGGGTCCAAGCTGAGCCTCACCAAGTAAGGCCACACTCTGGGTCCTGAGGCCATGTGCTGGGATGAGTGGCTGCCCACACTCCAAGCTCAGCTGTCCCTGTGGGGAGGACTACGTGGCTTGAGCACTCCCTAAAACTCAAACCCCCATCTAACCAAGTGGGGTGCTGAAGTTTTATTTCACTGAAAAGCCAGCCCATGGACTAGGGCAGCGGTTCTCAACCTGTGGGTCGCAACCCCTTTGGCAGTCGAACGACCCTTTCACAGGGGTCGCCTAAGACCATCCTGCATATCAGATATTTACATTATGATTCATAACAGTAGCAACATTACAGTTATGAAGTAGCAACGGAAATAATTTTATGGTTGGGTCACAATATGAGGAACTGTATTTAAAGGGCCAGAAGGTTGAGAACCACTGGACTAGGGCATAGCTGTGGGGAGCTTCTCACCTAGTGCAGATGACCATGCAGGCAATGCCCAGCAGCTGGAGCCTGTATCGGGGCACCAGCCTCCTCCGTAGGTATCGGTCCACACACTCCACTGTCAGGTGAAGGCATAGGCTTGTGAAGTCCTTCATGGTAGCAACTTCTACCAGCCAGTCGATCAGAATGTACCTTTGGGAAAAGAACCACCCCTGAACACTAGAGCGAGCACTCATGTGTCCTGTCTCCCAATCCAGATGGTCCATCTTCTCGAGTGAGAGAGCTGATCATCTGCACTATTGGTTTACCCAGGAGCCATCCCAGGCTGAGATGCAATATTCAAGGGGGTTGGGGAGGCCCCACATCTCCTGGCATTGTTTCTGGGAGGTCGGTGGCACATATATCTGTGTCTCTTCCTTCCCCACAGGGCCCCCCAGGCACTGGAAAGACCTGATACTCACAGGTAAGGGGCAAGGTAGAGGTGGGACAGATCACAGACCTCAGGACCAGAGAAAAGACACTCAAATGTGCGAGAGCTTTGGTCTTCCTGCAAGTCACCTATGGGGTCATTTACCAAAACCTTTTGCAGTGGAGCAAAGAGCCAAGAACACAACTAAAGCAGAATGCACTGAGCCCATGAACTGGACTTTCTTAGTCACCCACCATCCCTGATGGAGCACAGAGACAACACACATGGGGTCCTTCCTCGAGAGGGCTATAGCCTGGGGTCAGGGACACAGACATCACAAAGGAATGCTGTGTGCAATGGGAAGGATACTCGAGTACAGGAAATGCCTTTCTGAACAAACGAGAGGGGACAGAGAGAATTCTAGAGAGAAAAATTGTGATTCTGCACAGACAGGTAGATGGGATCCTGGTGTCAGGCAGGACAGAAGCATCTCAGAGGGAAGGAGGGAAAGATGGGGTCAGAGTGGTAGAATGGAAGGAGGGAAGCAATGGAGGTGGAATGGAAGGAGGAAAGGATGAAGGAGGAAGACAAGCCTCTAATTTCTCCCAGAAGGAGGAAGACAGCATGAGTATCAGGTATTTGAGGTTTAAACCAGCCACTATTGGAACAGAAGAGGAAGTTCCCCTACACAAACAGATTAACAAGTTTAATCTGGCTTATAAAAACAGAATAACCAATGTATATACTTTAAAATGGTTAAATCTGAAACTAATATAATGTTACATGTCAATTATACCTCAGTAAAAAAAGAAAAAAGTTGGCAGTTGCTAGGCACAGAGGAAATGGAAAGATGCTCAACTCAAGGGCTGAAATGATAGTATTGCAATAAAATTATTTTAGTTCTTAACAAGGAAAAAAAAGTGAAATTTATTACACACTGCTGCTCCCAAAATACCAACAGTCCAAAAAAAAAAAAAAAAAAGGCAGACTGAGAGGGGCACAGGTGTTATCAGTGAATTTCTTCCAACGGAAAAAGGGAAGAGCTGAGAGGAGCGGGGAAGGGATTGTGACATTTAATGTGGGATCTAAGGATGCTGCATCCCTCACTGTGTGTGTGTTAGACATTAAGCCTCTCCAGGAAACGCTAGATCCTTCTAAAAATAAATGTTTACTGAGAACTTACTATGTGCTGGGCATTGTTTACTAGAGTACAGCCAGAGCCTGCCCATTATAAATCCCAAAGTATTAGAAATCTCTTACATAAACTCACAAAATTATTCACATTTTCCATTTTACTGACATGTTCTGTGATTGAATGTAAGAAGTGCCTTATCTCTAAACCTTGGAGGAAAACGGGCCTGCAGGAAGAGGTGGGTATTGCTGGGGTTTTAGGACACTGGGCACATTGCAGCTGCCCCAGAGGGCATAGCTCCTGTTCAGGCTGGCTCAGACAGCCATGGAGTTTCACACACCCATGTTGATGATCTAATGATAGCTTATAAAGAAAAGGTGGTTTGGGGGCTTCAGAAAGATGTTTAAAATGGTTTAACTTGTTCTGAGGCTTAAAAAGGAAAACTGGAGAGAGCAACAATTTTTAGGACGAATATTTTCTCTTAAAAGCCCTGGATAACTTAGAAAACACTCACACACACACACACACACACACAAATGGGGTGACCCTAGTGGGGTTGACAACAGAGTGCTCTGTGACAGGTGGTTCAGGTGAAACAGAATGGATAGCTCCCTTTGCACCAGAGACCAGTGGTCACTCTGCCTTCCAATCAGATGCTCTGGCTTGAACCCCTCACCTCATCGTGTCGTTGAGTCCCTTCTGCACGGAAAAGACCTTCTGCTTATTAGCAGCGTGGGAAGCCTGAAAGAGCTGGCAGACTATCTCATTGGATGCTTTCACTTCTAGGCCAAGCTGGTTTCCATTTGCACAGGCTTTGGCTAAAGACAGCTGAGAAGTAAAGACATGCAGAATGAGCACAAAGCAGTGACTTTTGAGGTTTTTCATTTCCAAATGTGAAGAGTTTTTGAGAGAGAAGACATGTGTATACACATTTGCTCTCCTTTATGCCTCCTTAAGCCTTCTGTAACCAGTATGACTAAGATTTTAATGATTCCTTTTGAAATAAGTAATATATCACATAGTAAAGAATTTTAAAAAGGATAAAAGGTATGTAACGAAATGTCAGTCCCCTTCCTAACCTGGTACAGCAGTTCAAGCAATAAGTGTTTGGTAACTTAAAAAAAAAAAGTATATTTCTGTTCAACTCCCAATTGTGAAAGCTAGATATTCCAGAAGGAAGAAATGCATTGCCCTTTCAGCCAGCAGTGATGGGAATGCTGCTGCTCTGCTTCCTCAGTTGTGTTTCTTTCCTCTTTTCTCAGAGGGCACTGAGGCCCTGTGGACTTTATCAGGATCTTATTACTCTTATTGATGAGATTGAGCTTCAAGTAGAACCACATTGTGATTGTCATGTCTTATAAATTTGCTGACTGTTTTTCTGGACATAAACATTATAGGGCTCTGTGACACGAGCCACCTACCGCTTTGGGATTTCTTTCTTAGCTTTTGAGGGTAGGTGACTCTCAACCATCCACTTGATTGGTTGAGCTTCTACCTGCTTGAAATCACGACTTCACAGCTACAAGGGGAGAGTGCTTAACGAACACCAACTACAAATCCTTAAGGGTTCTGGTTCTGACACTGGACAACCTGGTGAGCAGGACAAATAATGAGAATAAGACAGCACTCCACATGCCCACCTGCTCTAAGGAGCTTCAAGATCTGTTGCTGACGTAAGCTTTACCTGCAAGACAACTTTAGGACCAGTATGAATTTTGACAGCAGATGCAGTCCCCAGGCACTTAGAAATTAAGAGACTGGCTTAGATGCCCTAACCGGTTTGGCTCAGTGGATAGAGCGTTGGCCTGCAGACTGAAAGGTCCTGGGTTCAATTCCAGTCAAGGGCATATACCTTGGTTGCGGGCACATCCCCAGTGGGGAGTGTGCAGGAGGCAGCTGATAGATGTTTCTCTCTCATCGATGTTTCTAACACTCTATCCCTCTCCTCTCCTCTCTGTAAAAAATCAATAAAACATATTAAAAAAAAAAAAAGAGAGACTGGCTTAGAGGCAATGGGCTTTGAGACAATAGGGTGGTAATGAACAGAGAAAAAAGCAGCAGTTCTAGGCTCTCCTCCCACATACCCCAGAGCTAAACTCCTTTAAGTCACAACTCCAGTTTTATGGCCTCCTGAGTGAGAGTCCAGGAGGTAAAGGCAAGCTCCCTTCTCACCTGGGCTTCCCAGCAGCCTTTGGCAGCATAGTCCCTGAGTTTCCGGAAGTTGTGGAGGCACCGTCCAGGATCAGACATCTGTCAATGGAAGAAAGTCACCATGACTTTATACTGTTGTGTCTCTGGAAAAACTCAGAACTGACCTACGGGATCTTTAAATGTGTCCCCCAACATCCCCAGAGGGTCTCTGGCTGCACTTTCTTCCAAGCCTTTTATTCTCTAAACTAGAGGCCTGGTGCACAAAAATTTGTGCACTCTGGGGGAAGGGGGGCGGGGTCCCTCAGCCCGCCCTGTGCCCTCTCGCAGTCTGGGACCCCTCGGGAGATAACGACTGCTGGCTTAGGCCTGCTCCCGGGTGGCAGAGGGCAGGCCCAATCCCTAGGTGCAGCCCCTG